TTCCTAACCTCAATAGTCATCAACTTTAATGCTTAATATCTCGGATCACAGGCCAGAGCGATGGATTTTTTTCAGATTCTTTTATTTTATATAAAAACGCGTTGAATAAGAGTGGTCTTGCATAACTTTTTGATTTTAACAATTCATTCGATCATCCGCTCATATGTACGCGATGGAAAGGTGCCGGTTCCCCATGAGGCATACTTTTCGAGATGCGTAGGTTACGAAAACCAATCATAAATTTGTTTAACATTTCTGTTAGAGTGTACAACAGAAATTCTGATCAGCAATTGGTCGCATTTCTCTAAACTTCCGTAAAATACGTAAATACAATGTAAATCCCAGTTTTTCAGAATGGCTTATTTTAAATAAAATATAACTATTCTAGTAATATTACTACATATGCAGATAATATTACTAGTAATATTACTTACAGTAATATTACTTACAGTAATATTACTACATACGCTTCATGTGACGGCACCCTAATAAGGTTTGTTCGCGTCGCATGTATCAGTATGTTCCAATGTTTGCTATAGCTTCTATCCAATTTAATGAGTGCGTTAGAATGAGTAAATGCTATAGTAGGAGCATTTTAGAACATGTTAGAGCATGCGACGTGAACAAACTTATAGGGTGTGGTCGAGTTGTTACTACGAATGCTTCGAAGCATTTGATGAACCAATCGCAAGAAAGAATTTTACTAATTGATTAATCAATGCTTTGAAGCATTCATAGCGGCAACTTGACCGCACGCATTGGATGCATTTAGAACGTCAACCGCTTATTGAGCGCTTAATAAGCTCTTTTATCTGATTGGCATATTCTATTAGACCCTAAAATATAGACCAATCGAATAAAAGAGCTCACTGAGCGCTTAGTGAGCGGTTGTCGTTCTGAATGCACCCATAGTTTTGCGACAAAAGTCGTCATGTAATCTTTTTTGTCGCTGAAACGGCCAGTTTGAGCAGCTCGTGAAAATACACCTTGACGCTGCTATGTAAAGATACCTTTATTACTTCTTTCTTTCTTTCATTTTCCTTTTTTCATATGGTTAGCTTTACTTGAGTTGGTGAGATATTGCATTTGTTAATCCGTCGTTTTCTTTCGACATCGTAATATATATTAAGTGTTTCCATGCATGCTGAATTCTTTTGAATTATTCTCGACACGTTGGTTTATGTATTTCTAGTGTTCCTTTATACAAATTTAATTTAATTTGCAGGTTAAAATGGGCCGTCGACCAGCAAGATGGTACGTAATGGAATTTTTAATTCGTTGGATTCATCAATTTTAAATATATATCTTGTCAATAAATTTTGTAACATTTTTTTTCGACATTATAGTATTTTGATACAAAAGACTCATGAATGTTATATTCTCTGTATCATATAATTAACTATGTTTTTGGACAGTTATCCACATTTTAAATAAAAATTTGCAATTTGCGTTACACAATGACAATAAAAATGCATTGTAATTCTAATTTAATATTACAATTTTATTAATACAAATTCTCAATATTGAAATTTAATATTGAAGAATATCAAAATGTGTGATAAAGAGCGTTGTTACATTTGAGAATTTTTTTATTTTTAGTTATCGGTATTGTAAAAATAAGCCATATCCGAAATCCAGATTCTGTCGTGGTGTGCCGGACCCAAAGATCCGCATTTTCGATCTTGGAAAGAAAAAAGCATCTGTCGAGGACTTTCCATTGTGCGTGCACTTAGTATCAGATGAATATGAACAACTCAGTTCTGAGGCCTTAGAAGCCGGACGTATTTGTGCTAACAAATACATGGTAAAGAATGCTGGAAAAGATCAATTTCATATTCGTATGAGACTCCATCCGTTCCATGTCATCCGTATCAATAAAATGTTATCGTGTGCTGGAGCTGATAGGTATGTAATTTCATAATGTAAGGTAATAGAATTTTTACTTAGAAATATATGTTTCGAAAGGAGAGTACAACTTTTTTTACATTCTGGAAATATTTTATTTTTACATTTTCTTATGTATTTTTTAAAATGGAAACTGAAAATTAATACAATAATTATGTTATATCCAAGGAAAAAATTGATATATTAAAATAATGTTAATAATTCTTAATTACATTATTATAAAATTGTCAATTTTTTTGTTTATTTAAAAAAAATTATCAATGTTTCAGTTTATTTAAAAAAAAATTGGATCAACACACTTTGAATTAATTTTTAAATGTTTGAAGCATTTTGTATATATATATGATTTCATAACAATGTGAATAAGAATCTTATTCTATATTTCAATGTATTTTTCTTTGAGTAGCGTCATTTCTATGATAGTTCTTGGTTTCTATGAAGAAAAATATATAAAATGTAGGAATAAAACGATCCCTGAATGGTTGCGAAAAAGTCAAAGTTATATCAGTTTGTAATATAATTTTGATTTCTATCCTATGATCTAACATGTAATTATCTCTGAAATTTCTGAAATCCAAATTGTTTTGTAGGCTTCAAACTGGAATGAGAGGTGCCTTTGGTAAGCCTCAAGGTACTGTAGCCAGAGTACATATTGGTCAGCCCATTATGAGCGTGCGTTCTTCTGATCGTCACAAGGCGGCTGTCATTGAAGCTCTGCGACGTGCCAAGTTCAAGTTCCCTGGTCGCCAAAAGATTTATGTATCGAAGAAATGGGGTTTTACGAAATATGATCGTACCGAATACGAGGAACTGAAAGTGGCAGGCCGTCTTGCCCCAGACGGTTGCAATGTCAAGTATCTACCAGAGCATGGACCCCTCGAAGAGTGGAAAAAGTTCAGGAAAGTACTTGCTGCAGCTTGAATAAACATGCAACATTTTGGATATTGAATTGAATAAAATATATAATCAGAAAAAAGAGAGTATATATATTTACTAAAGATCCTAGAATAACCTAAAATGTAATATCTAGAATTATTTCCTATTTCTATATGAAAGTTGGGCTAATACCGGTTCCTACTACATTAAAAAAAAATGTTTAATTAACATAATTTTATATTGAAGAATATGGTTTATTCGATAAAACGAATAAAAATTAGAAATACTCATAAAAAAATATTTTAAAGAATGGTAAACTTGAATGAATAAGTTTGACAATCTATTTGAAATTTATATGTTCTCAGATTTATTACCCAACGTCAAATTTATATATCTAATTGAATCTCATAAAAAATAAAAATTAATAAATTCCGAATGGGAGAACTTCTATTATGTAATGTCAATTTGTACGTAAATAAATTGAAGATTTTTTATTATCTAAGAAATGAGACATTATATATAATGTTTCCTTTTTACAAGGCATTATCCCAGTCTTGATAATTTGATAAATTGTGTACATATATATATATATATATACACACACACATCCATACACGTGTGCGTGCGTGCGTGTACACATACAGGATGTCCCGAAAGTTTTTGCCAATCGCTTTTGTGTAGATACAGCGAACTAAACTGAGTCAAAAAATCCTCTACTATTTTGCAATTTTCGCAGTATTCAAGACCAATATTTGGCAATTTTTAGTAATTAATATCTTGTTAACTATTGCGAAAATTGCAAAATGGTAGAAGACTTTTCGACTTTTTAGTTTAGTTCTATACTCTACACAAAAGCGATTGGCAAAAACTTCCGAG